ATCTGCATCGAGCTGGCCCGCGGCCTCGGTGAGCAGGCGCCGGAATTCCCAAAAAACGGCGGGAGTCGGCGGGGAAAACAGCGGGAATGACCAGAGAAACAGTGGGAGTCAGTGGGGAAAACACCCGGGAAAACACCCGAGAATTCCCAAAAAACAGCGTGAATTATTGGGGAAAACACCCGGGAATTCCCAGAGAAACAGCGGGAATTAGTGGGGAAAACACCCGGGAATTCCCAGAAAACAGCGGGGAGTCGGTGGGGAAAACATCCGGGAATTCCCAGAGAAACAGCGGGAGTTGCTGGGGAAAACACCCGGGAATTCCCAGAGAAACAGCGGGAATTAGTGGGGAAAACACCCGGGAATTCCCAGAGAAACAGCGGGAATTAGTGGGGAAAACACCCGGGAATTCCCAGAAAACTGTGGGAGTCGGTGGGGAAAACACCTGGGAATTCCCAGAGAAACAGTGGGAGTTGCTGGGGAAAACAGCGGGAATTCCCAGAGAAACAGTGGAAGTTGCTGGGGAAAACAGCGGGAATTCCCAAAAAACTGCGGGAATTAGTGGGGAAAACACCCGGGAATTCCCAGAAAACGGCGGGAGTTGCTGGGGAAAACAGCGGGAATTCCCAGAGAACGGCGGGAGTCAGTGGGGAAAACACCCGGGAATTCCCAAAAAAATGCAGGAGTCGCTGGGGAAAACACCCGGGAATTCCCAGAGAAACAGTGGGAATTAGTGGGGAAAACACCCGGGAATTCCCAGAGAAACAGTGGGAATTAGTGGGGAAAACACCCGGGAATTCCCAGAAAACAGCGGGAATTGATGGGGAAAACACTCGGGAATTCCCAGAAAACTGTGGGAGTCGGTGGGGAAAACAGCGGGAATAACCAGAGAAACAGTGGGGAATTGATGGGGAAAACACCCGGGAAAAACACCCAGGAAAAGAGCGGGAATTCCCAAAAAAACAGCAGGAGTCGATGGGGAAAAACAGCAGGGAAAACACCCGGGAAAACACCAGGGACAACACCGGGAATTCCCAAAGAAATGGTGGGAATCGATGGGGAAAACTCCCGAGAAAACAGCGGGAATTCCCAAAGAAATAGCGGGAATCGATGGGGAAAACACCAGGGAAAACAGCAGGGAAAACAGCAGGAATTCCCAAAGAAAACACCAGGGAAAGCACCCAGGAAAACCGCAGGGAAAACACCAGGAATTCCCAAAGAAACATTGGGAATTGATGGGGAAAACACCAGGAATTCCCAAAGAAAACACCCAGGAACACACCAGGAATTGCCAGGGAAAACACTGGGAATTCCCAAGGAAAACACTGGGAATTGCCAGAGAAAGGAACAGCAGGAATTGCCAGGGAATGCAGCAGGAATTTCCAGGGAAAACAAACACCAGGAATTCCCAGGGAACAAAGCTCCTGGAATTTCAATTTTTTTTGTAACAAACCCCTGTCATTTCAGTTTTTTGGTAACAAACCCCCTGTAATTTCAGTTTTTGGGGCACAAACCCCTGTAATTTCAGTTTTTGGGGCACAAACCTCTGTAATTTCAGTTTTTGGGGCACAAACCTCTGGAATTTCATTTTTTTGGGGCACAAACCCCTGGAATTTCAGTTTTTGAGGCACAAACCCCTGGAATTTCATTTTTTTGAGGCACAAACCCCTGTAATTTCAGTTTTTTGAGGCACAAACCCCTGTAATTTCAGTTTTTGAGGCACAAACCCCTGGAATTTCAGTTTTTGAGGCACAAACCCCTGTAATTTCAGTTTTTGGGGCACAATCCCCCTGTAATTTCAGTTTTTGGGGCACAATCCCCCTGTAATTTCAGTTTTTGGAGCACAAACCCCTGGAATTTCATTTTTTTGGTAACAAACCCCTGTAATTTCAGTTTTTGGGGCACAAACCCCTGTAATTTCAGTTTTTGAGGCACAAACCCTCTGTAATTTCAGTTTTTGGGGCACAAACCCCTGGAATTTCATTTTTTTGAGGCACAAACCCCTGGAATTTCAGTTTTTGGGGCACAAACCCCTGTAATTTCAGTTTTTGAGGCACAAACCCCTGGAATTTCATTTTTTGGTAACAAACCCCCTGTAATTTCAGTTTTTTGGTAACAATCCCCCTGTAATTTCAGTTTTTGAGGCACAAACCCCTGGAATTTCATTTTTTTGGTAACAAACCCCCTGTAATTTCAGTTTTTGAGGCACAAACCCCTGTAATTTCAGTTTT